CCCTCCTGTGGCATAATCCTTTGTCTCTTCTCTCTCGTGTCTCCTCACTCCAGATTTCTCTGTTGTGCACAGTTTGCCCATATTCAGTCTTTCGAGTGATGGGAAGTTATTCGGGACTCACCACTCCCGACGCATTCCCCCCACTCATTCGCGATGTCCTCATCGCGCACCAATCTCTTGTTAGTGGTTTTTGGAGGGATAGACGGGAGAGGAGGAGGAGATGTTATGGGTAGTTAGTTTGCCAGTGTCCATTTTGTCTTTTCTTGCTCCTTTCTCGATTTTCTTCTAGTTTTCGGCCTTGGAACGGGGAGGGGTGTATAGGGTCAAGCTTTCTTTTAGTCTTCTCACGTCTCATTCATCACCCGTAGTACATCAAAAACCCATTTGTCTCATTCATCACTCTTAAAACATTAAAAAAAAACCCTTTCGTCTCATTCATCACTCTTAAAACATAAAAAAAAAACCCTTTCGTTTCATTCATCACTCTTAAAACATTAAAAAAATCCTTTCGGCTCATTCATCACTCTCAAAGCATCAATCCTCCTTTCTTCTCGTTCCTCACCCTTTTTCAGGTTTTCCTCCTTTCTCTGCCCCCGCTTCTCCCTCGAGACTTGCCAACCAGGCCCCTTTTTCCGGCTTCCGTCCCCCTTAATGCCTTTTCTATTTGGCTCTTTGGCCCATGCGATCCATGCCTCCCGTCATTCTTTCCTCAATCTCCCGCTTTGCCAAATTTACATGTATCTTTTCCCTTGTTATTTTGCTCAATTTTCTCTAGCCCTGCCAATTCCGCATGCATGTCACTTCCATTCTCAAAATTCGCATTACTTAGTCCATTCCATAAACATCTTTCTTCCGGCATCTCGCCAGGCCTTGCTCAAACTCATGCAAGGTCTATTACACATATATCACTTTTCTGGGCGTCTTGCCAGTCCTTTCCTTTAGCTTATGCAAACCCAGTTGCTCATACCTTTCTCTTTTGAATGTCTTGCCAGGCCTTCTCTCAAGCCCGCGCAAGGTCAATTACTCATCCCTTTCTCTTCTGGCCATCTTGCTTGGTCTTTTCTCGATCCTGCGCAAATCAATTATACAAGCATTTTTCTTCTGGACATCTTGCCAAGACTTTTCTCAAACCTGCGTAAAGTCAATTACTCATTCATTTCTTTCTTCTGGACATCTTGCCAGGCCTTTTCTCAAGCCTGCGCAAAGTCAATTACACAATCTCTTGGTTCATGGTAACCTTCTCTTTTGCACGCTTTTTCATCAGTAGATGGCACACCTTCCCCCCACTCAAAATGCTATGCCCCCATCGCACGACTAGTTCTCACTCAGAGGTACGGCCCACCAACGAGTAGACGGATGCCGGCCCATCAGTCCCGAAAGGGAAGGGTGATCAGTCCTCCCCCTGCTGACAACTCACCTCATCTTCTACTCCGTCCGACCTTTTGCTGCTTACGAGACGGGCGTCATCACTGAGGTACCTCCTCACATTTGGCAGGTAGGTCCAGTCCAAACCTCCCAGGACCCCGTCTTTCCGTAAGGGCTTTCTCGCGAATCGTTCCTCCCGAGTGGTGTTTTCTTGGATCCGGCCTCTTCCTTTCAAGAGAGTTGGGACTCTCTGTTAGTTTGCGAGTGCAGTTACGAAGATCTCGCGGTTAGTCCCGGAACGGTTGTAATGATCCGGCAGGACGATGTCACTCGCCCTGTGGTGGTTGCGGCTTCCACCCGGTACCACGCCCGTTTCCTCCCTCTGGACAGTGCCGCTCAACTTAACGCGAGCAGTCGTGGTCCATTCCAAACGGTCGTGCCGCCCCTCTACGGCATGGCGTGTGGTTGGGGATAAAATGAGACAGGGGAAAAAGAATGGCTCTCTCGCCCGTTTGGCTCCACGCCCTCGATGTTTAGGTTCTCAACATGAGGCGCAGTTTGAACTCCCCGACTAGAGCTCGTTGTCGGGGTTAGTTCCGGACGGCCAACATCAATCAAAGAGAGAGGTGCTTTGGTCCTTCAACCCTTATTCCTTCTTATGAGGAGCAGGTCGCGCTGAGACTTGCCCTTGACGGTAGAGGTCCTGGGGTTGCGATGCATGCACCGCTATCCCCCTTATGTTGAGACCTGAGACTAGCAGAAAAGGAAAGCTCAATCTCTTGCTATTTCCATGGTCGGCCTGACGACCTTACATCAAGTTGCCCAGGGTCCCCTGACTATGCAATGCAATATCCAATTCTCAAACACTCAATTGAATGTTATTTCAAGGCTGATTCTCATGGCTGGTCCGACAGCCTCTCATCAACAAGGCCACCTCTTGTGGCCGCTCTCGCGGTTGCTTTCTCAATAGCCATTTTCACAAGGGCCGACCCGTCGGGCCGCCTTCAGTCCTCATCTTTCATATCCCCCAATATCCATTCCTTATGATCGTCCGGTCCATGCTTCTCTTTGTCTTAAGGCTCAACCTTCTTTATCCTGCCCTTCTCATTCTCATTCGTCCATTCTCATGGCTATCTCAATGACCGACCCACCGACCTTTTCCATCTCTTCCGTCCATCCCATTGGCTATTTCAATGACCGACCCACCGACCTTTTCCATCTCTTCCGTCCATCCCATTGGCTATTTCAATGACCGACCCACCGACCTCTTCCATCTCTTCCGTCCATCCCATTGGCTATTTCAATGACCGACCCACCGGCCTTTTCCATCTCTCATTGCTCATTCTATCTCATTCTCAATCATCCTTTCTCAATCAACCTTTCTCAATCAACCTTCCTCAATCAATTATGCAGGGGACCCCAGTGCCTATTTCAAAAGGAATGATCCTTGTCAAGTGCCATTCCCGAACAACCTGGTTAGGGTCGTTCTTTTCAATTCTCAAGTCGAACAGCCTGGTTAGGGCCATTCCTTCCCATTCTCAAGTCGAACAGCCTGATTAGGACCATTCCTTTCCATCCTCAAGCCGAACAGCCTGGTTAGGACCATTCCTTTCCATTCTCAAGTCGAACAGCCTGGTTAGGGTCATTCCTTTCCATTCTCAATGTTAGTGCCCGAGGGGGTGGGCCTCGGGGTTACGGATCCCATTTCTGTCTTGGAGGTTAGAAGGTGGCCATCTCATCTCAGTTTTCAGCGTGTTGTTCCCTTTCTCCATTTCTGTAGTAATGTACTATCCATGCATACATCCGACTTAGCGTCTAGTACTCGAGTTGGGGCTCGCGACCCCAAGCAGCACTAGCCCACCCGACCATTCAACCATAGCAAACGACAGGGGCGACCCCTCTTATTTTCACTCGTTCTGATGACTCAGACCTCGGCTATTCTTAGACTCCTTCATGACTCAGTTGCATTAGGCTCCTTGGGAAGGAGTGTTCTTCACGCCCCTTGACCCATAGGTTCCCTAACCTCTCTTGTACTCGACCAACATTCAATGCCAGGGTTCGCTTGTCAACTTGTACTCAAAATTTCTTTTCTAAAAAAACACAATCCTCATCCTATCCAAATTTCACAATACACCCTTCCCAACTGGTCTCATCCCATGCCCCATGTCCTTGTCTTGTGTACCCACTTTCGAAGGTAGCTCATCCAAAAAGTAGCCTCAATACGCTATCTTCTAACTTATTACGACACAGTCTTAGCTGACTCTTTCATCACTCATCCTTTGCAAGCTTACTCATACTGTACACATTCTGCTCCAATGTTTT